CTATTTGCTTTTTATACGAGCTTATAACGTGCCAGTGATAAAAGCACGTTGACTTAAACATTTTACATTTCTTAGTCCATGTTATTGTTTTTCTTTTTCAATTTGAAAAAAGAAGCTTTGTTTTCTGCGATTCAACTTTTGGATAGCACACGTAGCTCTATTTTTTTTATTGGCCTATAATGGAGACGAGCATACGGCCCACTTGATGGTAAGTGGTTACCGTCGCTCTTGGACGTTAGCAATGCCAGGGGCAGTGCCAAGACGCTGCCTACCGTTTAATACTCTCCACAAGCCTCGTTTGAAGAAGGACATGTCATGAAGATCTCTGGAAACGCACTGTGGATGACCGCAGTGGTTCCAGGTAGTATGGATGAACTCTACTCCGGCGCGGCAATGGTAAAAACGGGATAATGGGATCATCTCAAACAGTTCCTCAGAGCACTCCCCATGGAACATACGGTACAAAATACAGAGGGAACCGAAGTCCCTCCGCAGACCTAGAGGTTCCAAACGATCCGTAAGAATGGAATTATCGACAATCCAAACGAATATTTGGATACGAATATTTAGAGCGAATATTGAATTATATTTGTAACGGCATCAGTGAATGAATAGATATCTGACATCAACTTGTTTGGCGCTAACGACATTTTCTAGATAAGCTTTTAGGTCCCGGTCTTTTGCACCGTCGGGCGCTTTATAAAACATCTTCTCTTTGTAGTATTCTATAAATTTGAACTTAGTTTGTATTACTAGAATTAGAATCACAGCTAAAACCTTTGAAAGCATAGTAAAGATTTTGTTAGCTTGTACTTTTTCCGTTTATAATTTGATAAGATAACTAAGTTTAGGGAAAACGCGCTACTCCTTTGAAGAGATAGGAGAATGAATTGAACAATGGCCAATAATATTGGCCATATATTACTAGTATCTGCGGGAACTTTAAACGTATTCACGTGTAGAAATAAAAACTAAATTAGCTTCAAAACGTTCGGTCATAATGAAGTAATATCTAAAAATTATATTGTAATTAAATTCAAATTTTTATTTCATTCAATGCGATGATGACGAAATAAATTTTTTTCAGGGCTGTCATAAATGACATCAAACTTCTTAATCTATAATAAATAGTAAAAAATAATGGTGTTAAAGAATTAGCGGTGTCTGTGCACACACGCTACCAACCTAATCAGTTTTTTTTTTAATTGCCGTATAGGCAGATGAGCATATGCCAGCAATGCCAGGTGCAGAACCAAGCCGCTGCCTACCGTTAACTACGTGCCTACGTGCGACAAGCCTGCAACATGCGGTCACGTATCACGACTCCCTTTTTTTCCTACCTAAGCTGATAGCCTTGAGAGGCTATATCAGCATCGCCTTAACTAGTAGGTGAGCTGACGGGGATCAAACCTTATGACGTTGCTAACACGAACCCTAGCTCTTGCTGAATCTACCACCGGATCGGAAACGCGACCCACTGAGAAGATCCGGCGAGAAACTCAGTGGTCTGTGTCTGATGACTGTGTTAAACGACTCCCACTGCACTCACGTACGGTACGTCAAACACGAAAACCTATCGAATTCGTAATGTAAATATATCGATTCCTCGATACACAGATTACTACTAGTTGTAGGGTCTCTTGTGAGTCCGCACGGGTAGGTACCACCACCCCGCCTATTTCTGCCGAGAAGCAGTAATGCGTTTCGGTTTGAAGGGTGGGGCAGCCTTTGGACTTGAGAACTTGAGCCATACTTGAGAACTTAGAACTTATATCTCAAGTTGGGTGGCGGCGTTTACGTTGTAGATTTCTATGGGCTCCGGTAACCACTTAACACCAGGTAGACCGTGAGCTCGTCCACACATCTAAGATATAAAAAAAATCGTTGTGAACATAAAAATAAATGAAAAGTAAATAACAATCACAAAAACGTTTGACAACCCTATGTCCCAACAAGTCGGTTCCCGTTGCACCGTGATGAGTATAACAGACACTATTAAAGTCAAATGCCTCTTTATTTATAGTCGGTCACTTCATTATATTTGTATTCACGACACTAATTGTTATAATATTTCGGACATCATAGTACGTTATACCAAATGTATTGCATTGTAATATAGTTTGGTACCGAAAAAACGTATAAGACAAAAAAGTACTTTTTACCTACCTATTCGCGGGTAGTCTGAAGGGCTATTTCAGCTACGCCCAGACGTGTATAGGTGAGCTCATGGGCTCAACCTGAGAGAATTTACTAACACTGACCCTAGCAAAAGCGGTGCTTGGCTTAATACAAAATTCTTGTTTTTTGGTAAACGCCAAAAATGTAATTGAATACTTACCTATAATTTTTCAGTTTACATATTAATATTTTAAGCCTTAAAGCGCATACCCATGCACATTGTGCACAAGCGACTGTTTCTTAATATTAATATTTTATTTTTCATTATGCCACATAAATTTACTGTTGTAATTTTAACAGTCATACTCTGAAATGGGAAAAGCATTTCAGTGATACATTGAAATTCAAGGAGAGGTAGGTACATTGGAATAAGTTAAAAAAAAATCATTATATCGATCACTTTTTTATCTTCAAATTATAGATTTAACAAATTTAAATATAAAATCAATGCGGTAGGTAAGATTTAGTTTATCTAATGATTTACAAAAGCACATTGAATCTAATGCATTGGAAGTAACAAAACCGGTGCTATAATTCCAAATTGTTAAGGATTCATCCAGATAAGTGATATAATTTGTAACTAATAATATTATAATTTTGTTACATAAACGAAATTTTCACCTTTTTAGATTTTTCTAACCTAAAAAGGTCAAAATTCTTTGTTCTTCTATGTTTTTGTTTTTTTCTACCACACAATAATGATACATTACTAAAAATAAATCTAATTAATGTGCTATAGGCTACTGGAAAAATAAATATCTGGAATGATGACTAGCATAACATCTGTCAAACTGTAAAGTATAAATTTAATGGCGATTTTCCTGTTTTTTTTTATGTATTATTTATAATTTTTCTCCAGATCACACAAACCCTATCCATTATCCATTACATTACAATCAGTCATTCCCTGAACATCACCAATCCCCGAATCCACAAGATCTTGACCGTTCAGACTTAAGATAATCATCAGTCATAATAATCATAATAATCATCAGTCATAATAATCATAATAATCATCAGAAGTCAGTTCAGACACCTATCAGGGATGTTGAAGATTTTTTTTCTAAAAACTCTCTTCCACATATTATTATCCGTTTGTTAACACATTATACGCCGGCCCTGCGAAAACGCGGGATTCGAATCTGCTTAACTTAGTGCGATTTTTTTTAACGTTCTCGATAGTGTAAAAGTTAACTCAAATTTGTATTTTTATTTAAAGCATCGGATAGCTTAGAGAGATTATTCGTCTGTAAGATCGAAGGAAAGAGACCGCGCGGACACCCCACACACACAGCCCACCGAGTTTCTAGCCGGATCTTTTCAGTAGTCACGACCCTCAGCATTACGGAAACGACGAGTGGAACGCTTGCCGCTAGGGCCGCTGTTCCAGCTTCATACAAATTTGAGTTAACTTTTACGCTATCGAGAACGTTAAAAAACTCGCACTAAGCACATGGGTCTGGCGCTTTAACGTCGGCCCTGCGTTAATGCAAGATTCTTTTGCTTGGTAATCCGCCTTCGCTGATTACGCCGAACGTAATCTTTTTATTGTTTTACGAAAATGTACAAAATTTTAAATATTTTCTTCAAGTACTCATTGACTGTAAACAAGTGAATCCTGCTGGCGCCTAGGTTTTAAGCGATCGATACGGTGTCGGCGCTGTCATTAGGTAAATATCTCAGATGCCAGCGGCGTACAATGTGCTAATGTTAGTTTCTACATAACTTCACATCCAATCATGGCAATTATTTAGGTGCTTTTTCACAGAAAATTAATTGTTTTGGATAAAATTAAAAATAATTTACAAACTAAAACATGTAAATTCCCATTATGTGAATGTTTAATTACTTAGTTTTCTTAACTGTAAATAGACTTGAATAAGAATTAATGTTGATTACAATCTTCCAACTTTTAGCATACATTTCTCACGCGTCTCTTCCCGAGTAAAAGTAAGATATTTATATTTAAAATTATGAAATAGGCACTATTAAAAAAGCATATAAGCGTAACAACAAACCTTGGTTTACACATTTTTAACAAATAATGTTTTGTTGATCGTTAAAGTGCTATTTACCTTTAGTTCATTGTTGCCCCATCATTAGAATTTCACGTCATTACAGATCCTCCCGATCAATTAACAGTGCTTTTAGGTACTTCAAGCACCGGTCACCGTCCTCGCCGAACCCGTCGCTTGCGACGAAGGGCTCGACGAGTAAATTAACCCATAGACACAGCCCACTGAGTTTCTCGCCGGATCTTCTCAGTGGGTCGCGTTTCCGATCCGGTGGTAGATTCTGCGAAGCCCCGCTTCTGCTACGGTTAGTGTTAGCAACTTCGTCAGGTTTGAGCCCCGTGAGCTCCCCTACATGTAAGGGCTACGCTGAAATGTCCTCGCAAGGCTATCAGCTTAGGCAGAAAAAACCCGGAAATCCACTTAGTTTATGAAAATCACAAAAAATCATCGTATTATACCTTTTATTTCTGTTTATACGATAAATCTGCGTCAATTTGATGTCGAAATAATTTGTTGCTTATCCACTATAAATAAACGAGATCATTAAATAGAAACAAGCTAAGTGTTATGAGGTTAAGGTCAGTAAGAACACTATGAAATTATTACTCTAACTCACTTACTGGTGGTAGGAAGTCTTTGTGAGTCCGCACGGATAGGTACCACCACCCCGCCTACTTCTGCCGTGAATCAGTAATACTTTTCGGTTTGAAGGGTGGGGCAAGCGTTGTAACTATACTGAGACCTTAGATCATATCTCAAGGTGGGTGGCGGCATTTACGTTGTGGATGTCTATGTGCTCCGGTAACCACTTAACACTAGGTGGACCGTGAGCTCGTCCACCAACCGAAGCAATAAAAAAAAACATGGCTGGTTAGTTACCATCGTCCAGCCTACCCCTGCCGAGACGCACTCATTCTGTGGCCTTCAAGCTCATGTTTCGATCGTGGATCATGGGGGCCCCATTCACGTTCCGTTTCCGGGAACAATTTTACCGCAACAGGTATAATGGTAGTCTTTACTTTGAGATATCAGGAAATCGGTATTGACGAAATATTATACAAGATTGCTTGATCTCATTTAAAAAAATGTGTAAAATTAAACTACGTACTGCAAAATGTAGGTATATTGAAGAAGTTTTTTTTTTAATAAATATATTTTACATATAGCGAAAAGAAAAGGACTGTAAGGAGAATGAAGTCATATGAAAAACAGCAGATATCGTGACCTCTATGAAAACGCTATTATATTATTTCATTGGTTTTTTTTCTGAACATACCAACTAAACAGTTCAATGAAGACAATATTTGGTTTTCTAAATCATTAATTCTTGTGTTTTCTTTACTTAATCAAAAAATTCATACAGATGAGTAATAAATACATAGGTTACTTATTACTTATTTTGTAATTAAAAACATATACATAAATATTACAAGGTATTTTAATTATTGATGGTTGAAGATAAATTATGCCCGCAGCCTACATAGCGATTTAAGTTTTACGTAAGCTCAATTTTTTTCTGTGACTCATAAAAGAAATATTCCCGAATATTAACCGAAGTCTTTTTCGCAAATGACATTTACCATTAATTTTTCCGCAAAAAGTTTGTATGCAAAGTATCGTGCGTTATTGTAAATACAAATTTCGCGTTGTGTTGCGAACTTTAAAAACTCATGCCCTTTTGAGTGTCAATTGTGCTGATGCCGTCTAAAGTTATCTACCTACTTATTTCAGGCACAAACTTTTAAAACATACATGCCAATAAATGACGGAACTGTCAATTATTACAGTTGTAGCACAAACATCACGAATGTAATGCCAATAATCTGACAAATGTGAACGTTGTGTATTTGATCATGAGTTTCGTTTTCTGCGTTGGTGTCAGCTACCGAGGTTGTAGTTGGTCCGTCGGGCTGCCAGGCGAGGAATTACTGAGCGCGGACAGGGAGCTTGCGCGCTTCATGCTGTAAATAACATAATTTACCGATAATTCTATTTTACTTTACCTTTTTTATATGCATACAACCTTCAACAGTTGTGAAGGTCAATGTTTACCACTGTCTATAATTAATGCAATCTACTCACACGATTACTTACCTTTTAATCGCTATGCTACGTTTACTTGCGGATTTGTTTTAAAGATGACAGATAAATTAAACACTGTGCAAAGCTTCTATAACAAAGACCAGACTCCGTAGGCCAAGCTGTTTTACATTTAAAATATAGCAAATCATAGCATCGTTTACCTCTCGGGATCAGTGTAGTCTACGTCAGGCAGGTGGGCGGAATGGCGGCCCGCGAGTCGATTGAACAGGCGCGCCGACGAGCGCCTCAGTGACTCGCGGAGTTTAGAGAAACTGCCACTTCGCAGCACCGCATCCGAATCCTGCCCCCGTGTTATGCAATTTACACTCCTTGGTGAAGGAATTTAGGACTGTTTGGTATTTCCCAAAGGAAAATTATGGATTTCGTGGCAAAAAAAATCAATAATTTAAAACTGAGAAACGTTCGTTTTATAAATTGAAAATTTATCTACTAGGCTGTTTAATTCGAAATCTTTTGTCATTGGGAAAAGTCAACTGTGTTTAATGGCGGGAGTTCTGATGACATTTTCGAGGTCTACAATGAAAATAATGATTGAAATTTACACAAAACTGTGGAAGTCGATACAGAACATCAATGAATGTGAACGAGATGCTATCATCATGCACCTAATTAACCTCTAACAGAGAAAGCCGATCGGGTGTGTCGTTACGATTGTGTTTTCATGCATTTCATTCGTTTTAAACCTGACCTAAGTCTAACTAAAGACGTTATTTTTTGCCCAAATAAAGGAAAATATTCAAATATTAAGTAATACTAAGTTAAAGGCTTTGGAGCAATTTAGTTGAAAAACGTCATACGTAACTTCTTTTTTTGTAAAAGTTTTTCCATGTAATTTCGGAATCTAAATTTAATTGTCAATTAAAGGCTGGCTGGCTGGCAAGACTGTTAAAATATTGGTTTTATTTAAAATATAATTGTGTCAAGTTTATTGGGATTTATTTGCGAAATTGACATTATTTATAACGTAAGTATTGTATAATCATTGTATTACAGTAAAATATTGAAAAATAGGACCAGGCGTACAAATGATGTATTTTTACATGTGATTTCGCTGTTTCGATATTGTGTTCATGGGCTATAAATTGCATAACACAGTAGACTCACCTTACACACCGAAACCAAAAATAAAACAAATGAAAAAAAATGATACATAAATATTTATTAACAGTTAAAATTTACCAATCGATTTGTTATCAGACAATAAAAATCAACAAAAATAAATGAAATGATAAAACTGAAACGCACTATTGAAATGGAGATTCATTATTCATTATTTTCTTTTTATTTATTTTTTGTAATGAAAATTCACATTCTCAGACAGCACCTTCAAATTAAAAATTAGAAATATATTTATTTCAAAATTATTACAAAATCTATAATATATTTATCACTTAAAACACTCATAAAGCTAAGACCGACAATATGCTAAAACACTGGAATGACAGTTTATATAAGCATCAGATATTACCGATTACAAATATCAGTAAAGATAAAATTAAAATAAAAAGTTCACGATTATAAAATTAAAATAAAACATGCATTCTTGCTATCGGAACGCAATATATCAGCAAATTAAAATCGAACATTAAATTATTATAAGCGATTATTTAAAATGATAAATAAAAAATCGTTGTTCGTATGTACATTATGCGTAAATAATATATATTCATATATACATATATAAAATATCATTGGGGCGATTCACAAATGAAATAAATGCAAAATAATTCAACTAGATATATGATCTTACGTTTTACGTAGTCGAATAAAATCGATAGCAATTATAAATCGATTTAATTCGATTAAATTTTTTGATAGCTTTATATTTTTTTTAATTTAAAATTGAGCATATAGACTACGTAAAAGTCACATAAAATGTGTGTCATCTTTAATAAAATAGATATACAAGACTTTTTATTTATTGATATTATAAAATCGTACTAAGCTAGGACGGCCGACATGCAATATTTATCACACATACCTACTTTGTATTTTTATTATAACATTTTAAAATTTTCAATAATTCCAGTACCTGACGCATGCTAAATAAATAATAACGCTAAGCTATTGACGAGAAACATTCTGAATTTCGTTAAGAAAATAGTTTATTACGAAATTCAAAATATCGCGCGTATATTTTTTGAGTATAGAACGCACGTGATCCCTTCGACGACGCATCGATCGAACACAGATAAAATTCACAGAGTATTAATTGTTCTCAACAAAATCATACATCACTTTTTTTTTCTATATAAGCAAAAGGATCAGGCACGCTTAAAGCGAGTGTGGTGTTTAAACTGTTTTAAACCTATAAAATATAATTAAAGCTATCCTACTGGTGCGGCGCATTGCTTCCCGTGTTGATGCCTAACGCATTGAACAATTTTGACTTTAAGTTCATGCGCGGTTCGCTCGTTTGATTCGTGCCCTATAATAGAAAAAAAAAGAAAAGTGTCAAAACAAAAAAAACGCAAATAATAATAATACAAAAGCGTGTATTTTAAAATATATACATATATTATTTAGTAGCGAAAAAATAAATGTGCACAGTGATTTAATTTTTTTGTGATAAGCTTCATAATTAAGTAAGGCCGCTGTTTTGTGGCCGTTATACCCTATTTACAGCATGCCATATATTAAAACAACAAAAATCGACCGACAAAAGCGTGAAAACGTTTACAAAAAGATCGCATCGGAAGTGTGCATCGACCCGACGACTTGAATGGAACCCAGTGCGGTGCGAGGTAATGCGTATCGATTACCATGCTATCGATATCGATAATCAAGCCCCACGAATGTGAAGTGACGACACAATGAAGTTAACACATAAAACGATACAAAAAAAAATTGCATCTTCAATGTATCGAAGAAAATGAGCAAACGCGACAATAAGATGATCTTTGATGATAAAATCCAAACAATCATTTTACTGTCCACAACACTAATTTAGCTTACGTCACCGCTGTACATGATATAACAACAATATAATATTTACAAGTCCTTATAAGCAAAGTTCCTCTGGCATATTATTATAGAATTTAAATGCCAACTTTACAATATATATTGAGGGGTGAAAGGCTTATTTGGTCCCGGTCATCGTTTTAGTCGAACCCGTCGCTTGCGACGAAGGGCTTGTAAATTAGCCCAGACACAGCCCACTGAGTTTCTCGCCGGATCTTCTCAGTGGGTGGCGTTTCTGATCCGGATGTAGATTCTGCGAAGCACGGCTCTTGCTAGCGCTAGTGTTAGCAACGTCGTCAGGTCTGAGCCCCGTGAGCTCACATACTCGTTAGGTTACGCTGATATATCCTCTCAAGGCTATCATCAGCTTAAGTAGGAGAAAAAGAAAAATTTTTTGGTTTAAACGAAATTCGCGATGTTTATCTTTATAATTCAATGTACGCTTTATTTTGTATTAGCATCACAGTTTGCTGCTTTTAATAGAACTTCAATTAAGTTTACTCTATTGAAATAGCTGAAGAATGTATTTTTGATTTATATTTTTTTCCAAAATTTAAAATTTAAATGTATCTTAAAATATCGCTTAAACCAAAATAGCCTTTCACTCCTCGATATAATATGTACATTTTTCTCGTTTCACCAGAACATTTCTAATCTCCTTAGATTAGTTTCGTATTTATTAGATTGGCAACACTAGGCCGAGGCGCGCGGTGAGGTAAGCTAAGCGGACACACAGCAACCCCACAGAACAAGGACTAGGCGCGTGCGCTGACCTCCTCGTGGTTGTCGTGGTGGTCGAGCGAGTCGCGGGCGTGGCGGGCGCCGCCGCGGGCCCGGGACTGCTTCACGATGTCCAACGCCTAGCGACAAGTCACACTAGACTTTACCATCAACATCATCGCTATCCATTACGTGTCGACCACTTTCTGTATGTTTAGTGCGAGTTTTTTTAACGTTCTCGATAGCGTAAAAGTTAACTTATATTTGTATGGAATAGGATCGTTTTGCCTACGTTTGCCGCTAGGGGCGCTGTTCCAACTACATACAAAACTGGGTTAACTTTTACGCTATCGAGAACGTTAAGAAACTCGCACTAAGCACACTGATCTCACTTAACTCAGAGAAACATTTCATTCCAGAGAAGCTTTCCAATTTGGAACAACAATGGCACAAATATTGTCAATTTGTTCAGTTTCAGCGGACTTATGTTAAAATACTTAAAAAAAAAACTTAAGCTATATCGAAATTTTGATTACAACGCTCACAGCGATGACTAGCGTATAATAATGACGTAATCAATCAAACTAATTAACGCTTCAATGACAGCCGATATCAAAGTATAATTATAAGATTACTAGCTGTACCCGTCCGCTTCGCTGGTCATTTAAAATTAGCATTATTATTTCTCAACCCCACAAAGATTCTCATCATTAACGCCCCCGCAACTGGTGTAGGGAGTCCAACACTCATATCAATATTAGCCTATCCATTAAGTACATGTATTTTCTACATTGATACCAAGTTTCAAGTCAATCGGTTGCACGGTTCAGTAGTTATAATGGAACATCCGTAAAACCACTGTAGATTTATATATTAGTATAGAAGTATAGATTTGTAAATTATTTATAAATGTGCATTCAAGTTTTGAATCCAAACAGTGTTGTCTGTCTGCATTGAGGGAAACTATAATAATTCTATTCCAGTAGTATAGTTCTCTTTTTAACTTACTTGCGGTACGTGCTAATAGGGCAGCGTGCATAATGAAACATCTCAATTATACTTTAGTGTATTTTTTTACCTATTATATTATACATAAAAAAAAAATAAGCAGTAAAATTTCGGTAATTTTTTTATTGCATATATGGGTGAACGAGCTCACAGCCCACCTGGTGTTAAGTGGTTCTACAACGGGACATCTACAACGTAAATGCGTCACCCACCTTGAGATATAAGTTGTAACGTCTCAAGTATAGTTACAAAGGCTGCCCCGCCCTTCAAACCGAAACGCATTACTGCTTCACGGCAGAAATAGGCAGAGCGGTGGTTCCTACCGTGCGGACTCACTAGAGGTCCTACCCACCAGTCTCTAAATAATTTAAACAAAAATGTCGTTATCGTGTTTTAGAATTATCGTACCGAATTTTTCTTTTCGTGTTAGAATGAAACCGCGTTATAGGAGGATTACCTGTATCACGGTCGACTTCTATACTTTCAATTCACCCTATTCCGAAAGACTATTCTTTTGTTACCATCAAAACGTGTTGTTCCACTACTTATGTATTCAGGTAAACCTCTCAATAAATCGATACATTCTTTTGACCTAAAGTCAATCCTCTAAACACATTTTCCTGGTTTACAAACGCAATGATTGTCTCGTGCTGTTTTATTTTAAATGACAGTTTTTAAGTGAAACTTCTAATGCGACTTCATACAAGGTTGCGTTAAACGTTCAACGTTCCTGGGGAGGGGGAATAGAAAGAGACAGAGCCAGAGTGAATTCTCGAACGCCCGTGCGTAGTAAAATACCTGTTACAGCGCGAGCGTTAGCAACGAGTAGCAGCCAATATTTTAATGAAGTATTTAAATATAATATATATTTATTTTTCTATAAATGTAAAATTTAAATGTTAAAGATGCTACATCTTTTATACACAGCATTCTCTATTACAAGAGCAATCTGATTTAAGGATGAAAAACGAAGCAAACCACAACTACTACACATCGAAAAAGAAGTTTCACTTCATACACGTGCACCAAGCTGCACACGCACCGCGTTTTTGACTAGAAGGTAGTCGAGTGTGCTGTACCTCTTTCCGGCTCCGCAGGGCGCAGTCCTCGAGCGTCTCGGCGGCCTCGTACTTGCCCTGGCGCCGGTACAGCGCGCCCAGGTTCTTCAGCGTCGTGGTCACCGTCGGAGAGTCCACCTGCGGCACCACGCCCTACAGTTAGCTCTGAGTCTATCTAACTATACTGAGACCTTAGAACTCAATCTGAACGTTTTAGACGTCTATGGGCTCCAATAACCGCTTAACACTAGATGGACTGTGAGCTCGTCCACCCATCTAAAAAAATTCACGACGAGTTCACGGTCAGTCGGAGTCCGTAAACAACAACAGCGTATATACCGCCACCCATCTTGAGACAAAGGTTCTAAGATCTCAGTTGCGACAGTACAGCGGCTGTCTTCAAACCGAAACGCAGTACTGCTTCGTGGCAAAAATAGGCAGAGCGGTGGTACCTACTCGCGCGGACTCACAAGAGGTCTTACCACCAGTAAAGAGGTATGGTATGATGGTATCATGGTATCATGGTATGATGTCGGTAGGTATGGCGTACCTTGGCGGCCTTGTGCCAGCCTCCATACTCTCCGTATGGGGCGTTCTCCTTCTGCAAGTGCTTGTTCTCCTCGCGCTCCTCCGCCACTTGCCAGATGGGCTTATTGTCACCTGTCAACAGACACTAGTTAATGACAGACGTCAAATATATATACCAGTACATAAACGACATAGAATTCGTCTTTTCGCATTAAAAGTGTACAATTTCCAAAAATATTCGAAATTGAGTTAATATTCGGAATCATTTGGTATCATCAGTATTTTTCTTATAAATACTCTCAAAAGAGTGTAGTTTAGTTTTTTTTTTCTCTTAGTTTGCCTATGTTTTGACTATTATTAACAAAATTAATACATAATTGTATCTTACTTTAAAAGACTATGTAACTGGTAAAAAATAAAAAATAAATGTTGCAAAGATGATTAATATTAAAAATATCACATGTTAAACCTTTAAAACATTCTCCTGTGAAATTAGTAAGTTTTTAGATTATACAGTTTTAATGCGAGAAGACGATATTTGATACTAATAATAATTAATTTACGGATGCTTGAAATAAAACGTTTTCAGAATTAACATTAATTGAATAGTAAATAGAAATTTCATTAATTACAAATTAGTAACACTACTGTGGTTAAGAGCGAAGTAGTATAAAATTAATGCAACCACATGATCCTTTTATTAAGATATTAATACAATTATTCCACCCGCCATAACCTTTCTTCTTCTTCCAGACTAAATTAGTGTACCAATTCAGATACTGAAGATTAAATTTTGATGTAATTCATCTTATTTCCCTCCTCCTATTTCTTACATATTAATACATAAAGTCTAGTTCATACTACAATCAAAAGGCCATCAAAGTATCCATCACCCTGTGTTATAAAAACAGATTACAAACTATATGTGACACAAGTCGGGAAGGTGTGACACAATTGGCAACAGCTGACGTTTACAACATAAACAAATAAAAAACAAACAAAAAAAAAAAGTAAAAGAATCTACATCCATACAGCCTTTCCTACCTGTGCCACACACAAATCCAAACTTGTGTCACTTACCTAATGTCATATTTTTATCAATCCATAATTGAGCGCACACATGTTTCACAAAAAAAACACTTTTTCTTTACACATCCAGAAAATTGCTTATCTAAAAACATGGCAAAAAATATATATTTTCGTTATCCTATATCACAACAAGAAAATAAAAAGCATTATTGAGCAAACAAAAAACAACAGACTATAATAATACAACCGTTTAATAAACATATTTAGTTAAATATTAAATCAACAATATTTTTTATTTAATAAAATTTACATACAAAAAATTCATCGAATATTTTTTTTGGCAAAGCATTTTGGTTTCAACAAATAAACTGATACATAGTTTAAAAGAAAATAACTACAATAAAATGAACGGTGGTCTTAAGCAACGAAGCAAATAAAATATTTTCAAAACATTAAAAAAACATCACGATATTTCATATTTATTTACATAATAGTTTTTTTTTTTTAAATGAAATATAGCAAGCGTTTCATCATCGAAATTTAATAGCTTCCTAAAAGCGATATAAGTCTTTGAGAAATTTATTTCATCAATACATTATCTCAAATTTAATAAAAAAATATTATGCAATGTATGATAATTGAATTCAGAATCATGAATAAATAATATTTAGTTTTAACAATATTTCTTTTATTTCGACTGAACAAAAAAAAAACACCCGATGAGAGATAATTTACTGCGCCCCGTTTTCTAGAACTTTTTTCGAAAAGACGCTTGTATTTTTGCTACTAAATAACAAGCTCTTGAACGAGCGACACTTTCATTTCTATTTCTAGTTCTCAAACATTAACGCATACTACAGAAATCTAACTAATCGTCTTTCTTTAAAAAAGACGGTAGAGACGGAATATCATTTATTACCTGAAGCTATAAAATTGATAAGTGATCAATAGTACTCAGGAGGGAGATCCTCGTCACAGTTCTGAGGATTGAATATTTCACATTCGCCAAGTTACATTGCGTTACATTGCGGGATTGGAAAACAAATGATTTCTATTGCGGAACCTAGCAACGGTGAGTTAGTTAAAAACAAAGTTCATCTCTAACTATTCTTACATTAAGTACATATCTCATTTATATCATCACGTAGTACGGTCCGAAAATTCATTCCTTCTTTATATTAGAGAATATATGAAATAAATTACTTAAACAATATACTACAATGATTTTTCTAAGCGACAAGTTTAGAACATAATAGGAGTTTCAGATAACAGCTCACACATTTCATTGCATTTCACAAGTTTATCTGTAATGTTGGCAACATCGTGTAACAATAATAATAAAACTATCCTATACATGAAAGACGGTAGCACATAAAATAATTATAAAAGCAAGAAAAACTAACAAATGCACGTAAGAGATCTCATAACACAGACAGAACTCATAAGTCTAACATTGAAATAGCAACATCAGTTTACATCTATAGCCTCTTTTTTTGTATTTTCTTATAATTTCTTATCAAACGACAGCTACCTAAAATACCTACCTACCTACCTACCTAAAATAATTGTATACAATAAATAAATAAATGCAGAGCGCGAACGGATTTAAGAATAAAATATAGCAACATTGAAACGAGAAAAAATAATATCATTTATATGGTAACACCACCATCGACACCCTGTTTTTAAAATCGTGTATTCACCGAGAAACATTTCCTTATAATTTATTAGCTTTTAAACGTGGCTTCGCTCGCATTCATAGTAGTTATTTTGGGCACCTTCTATGCAGAAAGTAAATATCCAGGGGTAAAAGGCTATTTGATTTAAGTTACATTTATCTTTGTAGTTAAACGTGCGTTCTATTTGGTACTAGCTGACCCGGCAGACTTCGTAGTGCCTCAATCGATAAATAAAAGACCTAAGCTTTTGTATAAAATAAACATAAAACAAACAAACGGAATCCGTCCGGCGGAGGACACGTCAAAGGAAAAACAAAATTGTTATTTTTATTTAATTCCGATAATTTTCATATTTATCTACCTTTTAAACCTTCTCTGGACTTCCACAAATAATTCAAGACCAAAATTAGCCAAATCGCTCCAGCCGTTCTCGAGTTTTAGCGAGACTAACGAACAGCAATTCATTTTTATATATATAAATTAGCATCCACAGTTCGATGTTTTTAATTGAACTTCAATGAAGTTTAGTCTATTCAAATAGCTGAAGAAGGTACTTTTTGTTATGATATTTTTTCTAAATTTTAAACTATAAATGGCTCTTCTGTAAAGTTGCAAAAATGTAGCTTAAACCAAATAACCTTACACCCCTCGATATGTAATCATGATTCTCAAAATGTTTTCACTTTAAGCCGCTTTCAGACTACGCTATAATATAATAGCATATAGTATATAGCTCATAGCACACAATATCGCGCACCATACATTGTTATGGACACGTTCACACTGTACTGTACTATATATTATTGGCGTACTATACGCTGCTATACTATATGGCACTATAGTATAGCGCAGCGGTCGGGAAACTTTTTTACTTATTACCCCAAAATATTTTTGTGTAAGTTGATATTAACCCATGGCGAAGAACAAAAAAAAAACGAAATCGCTTCTTTTTAGCATCTTTCATGTAATAGACCCCATGATAATTTTGAAAAATATATATATTATTTTTTCATTTCATTTCATTTCGTTTCATCGAGTTTGAAATCACAACGATTCTAAAGAAGTTTTACTTCAATAAATACTTTTTACTCACAAAAGTTTCATTTTTAACCCCCAAAATTTCATTTTACCCCATTTGGGGTAATTTACCCCGGTTCCCCGACCGCTGGTATAGCGTTATCTGAAAGCAGCTTTAGTTTAGACACTAATTCATTCAAACCACTGGATTTAAAGTTAATAAAAGGTAGCAGCTTACCCCCAGACTAACATGAACAGAAAATTGTAAAGAAACATGTTTCTCAAGGAATTCAACATAAGAAATCTTCAGCATTTATTATATTTAATATATTCATTAATTTATTAAGGCACAGTTTTATAAGTCATTCTTTTTCCTTTATATATGAATATTGCACGTTGAAAAATGTTCGTATACTAAAATATATTCAATTTCTTATTCAGTAAGACTTTAGCCATCAGTCGAGTTGGGAATGTAGGAAATAGAACGTATAACTCGTTATAAATAATGACCATCGAATTGATTTCATATAAACAGGTGAATATTTAATATGTACATTGTAAATATTTATTTGAATCACGCATAACACTTTTACCTCGGAACGATACCTTAAAGATTAATTAGCTAAGTTCTATGTTCTCTTAGAACGCTTATAGCTACGGGTGCTGGGTTATGTTATTTTTTAGGTTTTTTTAACGATGCTATATATTCTGAAAATGCAAACGAAAATAAATTTTACTAAAATACGAATTATGTGTACATTCTACATTCATATAAAAAAATATAAAGTTTGAAAATATGCTATAAAATAATAATAGAGTATTTGAAGGCAAACGGAAAAAAAAGGTTATACAGGTTTAATTATTGGCAGGTGACCGTTGGAGAATAATGATCACTTACCGTCAATGGTTCCGAATTCTCGTTCATGAGCCCGCGTCAACACCTGCTTGTAGAGAGTCTCGGCTTCCTTGTATTTGCCCTGCGAAAGAATTACCCAAATATTATACATTCTTTAATGATTACTCTACCTTAGTGTTAGTTTTTACTGGTGGTAGGACCTCTTGTGAGTCCGCACGGGTAGGTACCACCGCCCCGCCTGTTTCTGCCGTGAAGCAGTAATGCGTTTCGGTTTGAAGGATGGGGCAGCCGTTGTAACTGTACTGAGACCTTAGAACTTATATCTCAAGGTGGGTGGCGCATTTACGTTGTAGATGTCTATGGGCTCCAGTAACCACTCAACCCCAGGTGGGCCGTGAGCTCGTCATCCACCCATCTATGCAATAAAAATAAAATAAAAAACGCAACTCATCTGAAATCACCTAAAATTAATCCTAATTTGTTGTAAGATAGCAAGTACTATACACATTACAATTATTTTAAGTAAATAGTTACTGTGTCTAACACAGTTAATTTAGTGTTCACAAAACAAACAAAAGGTAAACAAATGATAAATGAGAAATTATTTGAAGCAGTATTAAATGAAGTTCATTTATCTGACATTTTAATTAATTAATTATACAATAAAATACTTAAAATGGATGCAACAATGTTACATGAGATGACATTAAATAATGTTCAAGTACAGTTCACTTAGACTTCGAAGAACTCTAGAAGCAGCATTCAGGGAATTTATTTAAATTTTCTATATTTGAACAAATTCAAAGTGAATAGTGAACGAGTGAGTTACTACACATTCAGACCTGTGTGCTTAGAGCGAGTTTTTTAACGTTTTCGATAGCGTAAAAGTTCACTCAAATTTGTATGCAGTTGGAACGTTGCCGACGTTTGCCGCTAGGGGCGCTGTTCCAACTGCGTACAAATTTGACTTAACTTTTACGCTATCGAGAAGGTTAAAAACTCGCACTAAACACACTGGAGACACAATGAATTGATAAATGAACACTAAATCCCACAGCAGCACTGCCGCTGTGTACCAGTAAATAAACAAATGTGTACTCGCCTGTTTGAGATAGCAGGAGGCGAGGTTGTTCTTGGTCTTGGCAACGTTGGGGTCGTCGGGGCCGAGCTTGCTCTCGTAGATCTCGAGCGCGCGCTGGTAGTACTGCTCCACCTCCTCGTACTTGTTCTGGAACGAGCGCGTGACGTGAGAGAGCGTCGGGGGGCGGGGGGCGGGGGGTTGGGGGCGGGGGCGGACCTGGTTCTGGCAGAGCAGCGCCAGGTTGTTGAGCTGCTTGGCGACGTCGGGGTGGTCGCGGCCCAGCACGGCCTCGCGGATGCACAGCGCGCGCTTGCACAGCGGCTCCGCCTCGCGGTACTTGCCTGCAACCACACACACCGTTACACACGCGCCAACAAACTTAATAGTAAGAAAACAAGTATTAAGTATAAATGATTTTAATTATATTAATTTACTAGCTGTACCCGCCCGCTTCGCTGCGCGTTAAAGATTAACATTATTAGATATTAAGAGATAAATATTATATTATCATTACCACCCCACAACGATTCTCATCATTAACGCCCCCGGGACTGGTGTAGGGAGTTCAACACTTACTGGTGGTAGGACCTCTTCTGAGTCCGCACGGGTAGGTACCACCGCCCTGCCTATTTCTGCCATGAAGCAGTAATGCGTTTCGGTTTGAAGGGTGGGGCAGCCGTTGTGACTATACTGAGACCTTAGAACTATATATCAAGGTGTGTGGCGCATTTGCGTTGTAGGTGTCTATGGGCTCCAGTAAACACTTAACACCAGATGGGCTGTGAGCTCGTACACACATCTAAGCAATAAAAAAAAAAAAAAAACTCATATCAATATTAGCCTATCCATTAAGTACATGTATTTTCTACATGAATACCAAGTTTCAAGTCAATCGGATGCACGGTTCAGTAGTTATAAACGGAATATCCGTAAAACCACTGTAGATTTATATATTAGTATAGATTACAATTTTAGTAGTATTTAATTAAAAAAATATTTTTATTTATTTATTTCTTATGTGGGTGGGCTCACAGCCCCGAGCCAAGGAATCCATAGACATCTACAACGTAAATGCTGCCATCTACCTTAAAGATATGACGGGAACAATTTAACTTTAACCATTTTGAAATGTTGAACTCTTCCAACTACGCCCTAACTGGTAGGTGAGCTCACGGACTCAACTTGACAAAATTTGCTAACACTGACCCTAGCAAAAGCAGTGCTTCGCAGAATCTACCACCGGATCGGAATCGCAAGGCATTGAGAGGATCCGGCAAGAAACTCAGTGGGTTAAAGTTCTTGTGTCCCCCAAGCTAACGTTGGATGCAGAAGTAGAGAAATCATCACCTCGCTTCCCGTACAGCACGGCGAGGTTGTTGAGCGTGGCGGCCACGGCGGGGTGGTTCTCGCCAAGGGTCTTCTCCCGGATGGACAGAGCGTCGTTCAGCAGGTTGGCGGCTTCCTTGTATTTGTTTTGGTCTCTACAATGTTCAATACAATATGAGTTTTAATGCTAGAGAATAAAATTTCAATTAGTTTGCAGTGTCAGCTTAGAATATTCTCCCCACCACCCCAACCGCTCCCCGTTGGTGTCGTAAAAGGAATCATTAATGTATTACTGTGTATAACCGATATTCACAGACTACATACACAGGCCTTTTAAATTATATATTAAGAAGATTATATAAGCAATTTTTTTTAATTGCTTATGTGAGTGGACTAGCTCAGAGCCCACCTGGTGTTAAATGATTACTGATACTGAGACATTAGAACTTATATCTCAAAGTGAGGCGCATTTACGTTGTAAATCTCTATGGGCTCCAGTAACCACTTAACACCAGGTGGGCTGTGAGCTCGTCTACCCACCTAAGCAATAAAAAAAATCTATTACAGACAGATTTAGCGAAATGGAATTTATAAGCAAAAATTAAAATAGTTTCATTTGCCGACCTGTAGACAAGAGCCAGTATGTTCAGCATGGTGGCGACATCGGGATGGTCGTGGCCCGAAGTCTTCTCCAGGTCTTCGAGCGCTTGCTTGCAGAGGGGCACGGCGACCTCGTACCGGCCCTGCGACGCGTACTGTATGACGAGGTTGTGGAGTGTGCGCAGGCGGGCCGGGATCTCGTACCCGGCGTTCACTTGCTGGGCGAAGTGCATCGGCGGCGTCGGCGACATCGCTGTAAAATTGTCGTCGTCTCAAACTTTTTCGTCTGAGTGTTGCATGTCGCGTGACGGTCGGCCGCGGAGTAGGGAGAAAGCGAAAGGCGCTCGTCAGAGCAGTCAAGGCCAATATGGCGGCGCCTGTAGTTCGCAGCAGCTGACCGTGTAGTGTATAGACTATTGCTCATTTGTGCCAGTGCTCCACGTTATTTTGTTTGTTTTTTTTCAGTGTTTAATGTAAATGTTGTTTGTCAGAGTTAAATGACTATAATGTGAAAAAAAGTTTCACTTTTACGTGGTTTCATAAAACCACACAATCCTTTTTCATTTTTTATTTATTGGTCGTATAGGCAGACGAGCATACGGCCCACCATAGTGAATGGTTACCGTCGCCCATGGACTTCAGCAATGATAGGGGCAGAGCCAAGTCGCTGCATGAAAAAAATTGACAATGTAAAATATCTTTAAATTCAAATCAATCGATAAGTACATAATTTATGAAATACAACATAACCCTGGCGACCCTGTAAACGTAAGTCAAAAGCTCGCGCTACCTTCCGGCGACGGTTATTATCATGAACTTTTGTTTTGTAATGGGTGAGCGAGTTCACCGGTCCCCTAATGTAATGTTACTATACCCAATAGATATCTTGAATGCTCCTCGCCCACTTTGAGACACGTGAGTTATCAACTACCTGCAAAAATGGTAACTGAAAAATCCAATGGATTTATTTATAATTTCATATCTCAAGGTGAGCAGCTAAATTATGTGTATACGCCCACAAGCACAGCAGCACTGACAAGCTGTGGACTCGTCCGAAGAGGCAGCATTTAAAGCAGTTCCTTACATTTATTATTCCTGTTGTCGTCGTGGTCATCATCAGGGAACAGCTCGACCATCGGGTCCTCGCGTTTCTTCTCGCCCTGACCTGTACGGTTACTGTCCGACTCTTCGTTTATGTCGCTGTCGTATTTACTGCAACAATCCACAATGAGCTTTCATTCATCAATTCGATTTCAATATTTCTTAAGAATAAAATCGTTAGGAACATCAATATTTACGTCGAACACAAAACATGACTATTATCATTTCCATACTACGGGGGGTAGATAAAGGGAGCCCTGTTAATATGAAGATTAAGCCGACAAAATACTTAAAACTTAAAAACCGTTTACGAAATGTCCAAATCGGCGCTAGTATCGCATGAGGATTAGATACAGTAAATATTCAAATACAAAATTTATTAATGAGTTTAAACGTCGTGACACGTACATACGTTAATCGCTAACCTATATTAATAATAGAATAAAAACTTTTGTGTGTGACAGACATTTGTCGATACAGAGTTGATTTTGTTATTATCTACCCTCCATGATGTCATAGGGTAACAATTGTACTCTCGAATCTTTTTCCATTCATTGGAAGTCATTTTGAAAGTCTTTCTCGAATATTTATATTAATAGGTAGAGAACAAAACGGTTAAGTAGTTTTTGTTAACCGTATTTTCTCTTTTTTATTCCATAGCTCGGTAGGTTATTCTCTATGGCAACATACAACATGATAATAATTTTAAATAATTGTAAATAGACATGGTTTAGATTTAGATATTCCAAAACAATTTAATATACGATAAAAACAATAATCATCGAAATCGGTTGGCGTGATATTGAGTTATTGAGTTATTCATCTATTTGTCGTGCACGTACTTAATGCAAATTTAAGACTTATATGGTTTTCTCATGGGTACCATTATCAGAACTGGACTAAATTGAAATGGGACCACACGGGGAGCGTCAGCTTTCTAATAAAAAAAAGAATCATCAAAATCGATTCACCCAGTCAATATTTCATCCCATATCATTTCATTTAATTTCATCCCAGTTGATCTCAAATTAATCATCTTAATTTTATTTCATTTCATTTCACTCTATATTATCATTTTTCATATAATTAAGAATATAAAAAAAAGTAAGATATGACTTAAAGGTCTTAGTTACCAGGTCATAAAATCCTTTAAAAAAATTGTCACGAGTATTTGTAGATTTAATTCTTAGAGTACGTACGTTAGTTTCTTGTCTTACCGTATGGAAGCCATGAACTCCAAATGCTTATTCTCCTCCTCCAGCTGTGCTACGCGTTGTTCGGAAGCCTGCAGGTGTTGCTGAGCTGCAGCCAGCTCGTCCCTCAGCCAGGCGTTCTCTTGGCACAGCCTGCGGACCTGCGTGCGGAGTTTTTGCTTCTCTGCCTCGACGGACTGAAGGTGAGATGCCAGAGCCGTCATTACCTGTAGGAAAAGGTATAAAAATGTGGTTAAAAGCTTTTTTTTTGTCAGGAGGAAAACGCCGGACTTTCGCCCTTCACTGGGGATGGAGGGCGGGGCATGTCGGAGTCGAAGCGACTAAAACCTCCTGTCGCTCAACAACCAGCATCCGAACCTCGCATGAGACAGAGCTTATGGAAAGGCAAAGGGGGGAAAGAGAAGCATTTAGTGCGGAGCACATCTCTCCCATCACCCTCCCCCTCGGGACGCCGGGCCGGCGGTCGTCGGCGCCACGACCACCAGCCCTCTCGGTCGGCAGGCTATCCAAAGCCCTAAATCTAAGGTTAAAAGCTTGGCATAATTCGTCTTCTCGTATTAAAATTATATAATCTCAAAACTTACTAATTTTACAGGAGAGTCTAACATGTGATATTTTTTATATTAATCATCTTTGCTACATTTATTTTTAAATTTTTACCAGTTGCATTATCTGTCTTTTAAAGTAAGATAAAATTATGTATTAATTTTGTCAATAGTAGTCAAAAAATAGGTAAACTAAAAAAAAACGCTCTTTTGACAGTATTTATAGGAAAAATACTGGTGATACCAAATGATTCCGCATATTAACTCAATTTCGAATATTTTAGGAAATTGTACACTTTTAATGCGAAAAGACGAATTATGTATAACTAGTGGTCCCCCAGTATATAATTATCATCCAGACCATATATCAGACTATAATTAATTGAAATTATAAGTTTGAACAGTATTTGGGTTCTATTGTCGAAGACTATTTTACTCCTAAAACCCAGATTACGCCAAGACTTGTTATTGATGTGTATTTTTAATCCATAATTTAAATAAATATTTACATTCTGCACTCCTTCTCTATATTCTCTATAAGTGAAGAAAATTTCATACTCCTCCTCCGTCCGCGCAATTACGTCGTAAAAAGGGATACAAAGTTTTTGCTTCACCTACTATTAAATATAGATAAAATAATATCAGAGGATCAGCCCTGTACTTCCTCCGAGATTATACCCTAAATGCCAATGAAATACCTTTTAATTATAATAAGATACTGCAGTGTATCAGTAAAAACTTTTCTCACTTGATATCCTTTCTCAAAAATATTTAAGTACTGCAGTCAACTTTTTATTTTTACTGCTTAGATGGGTGGACGGGCTCACAGCTCACCTGGTGTTAAGTGGTTACTGGAGCCCATAGACATCTACAACGTAAATGTGCCACCCACCTTGAGATATAAGTTCAAAGGTCTCAAGTATAGTTTCAACGGCTGCCCAGCCTATCAAACCGAAACGCATTACTGCTTCACGGCAGAAATAGGCAGGGTGGTAGTACCTACCCGCGTGGACTCTTAAGAGGTCCTACCACCAGTAATTACGCAAATTATAATTTTGCGGGTTAACTCCATATTTTTTTTCTTTTGTATAATTTCATGAAGGTTAACATCACTCATTTTATCTACTTAGAAGTACGCTTAGAGTGTTGTCAAAGTTATAAGATATATTAACTGCTGGATGCAGAAGCATTCGATGGGAATTTGAACAAAACCGTCTTCGGTTCCCGCACAGAAACAGCGAATAACTTCAGTCGATGCTCAGACCTGTTTTTCTGGGTTTGTTAAATATAACTCAATACGCGAGACAGTTGGCAATGATATTTCTAGAATTAGGTTCATTACGGAAACGGAACGATTCTCGATCGATTTTTAAAAATATTTTTTTTAGTTCTTTAAAAACTGAGCATTTAGAGACACGAGCCCATTGCATTGGATGAATGAACGACCTTTTGGCCCATTTGCTGTGAAATAGTTGTCGGAGCCCATGGAAATCGCAACGTTAATGTTCTCAACCTCTTTGAGTCATGAGGTCCAATTCCGACGTAACCTAAGACCTTTTGATTACAAAGTACGTAGGATACCATTCGAACTCTTGATTGTATTCAATTTAGTATACGTAAAAAGGTACGATCTTCAAGCACTAGAGATTTCGACCTTGCTTCTAGGTCAAGGACAGTAATCTTGAATGTCAACGGGTTGTCGTGATACAGTCACTGGATAAATATTAATGTTTAGTATGATCAACTTAATATTTGTTTCTATGATTATATGATAATTAATTTAAAATCAATATAAAGTTAAATAATATAAGATTTGTTGAACAACGTCTAAGCTCAATTTATCACTATTTTTGTCCATTTACACAATTACATATTATTTATAACAAGGAATACTTTCGTAAGGTTTAACGAGTTGTGATCAATCGAAAATTCTTTTATTGACCGATTTCAAATAAAAAGAGAACGAGGTTCTCAATTCAGAGTGTTATCTTTTTTTTTACTGGTGGTAGGACCTCTTGTGAGTCCGCGCGAGTGGGTACCACCACCCTGCCTATTTCTGCCGTGAAGCATTAATGCGTTTCGGTTTGAAGGGTGGAGCAACCGTTGTAACTATACTGAGACCTTAGAACTTATATCTCAAGGTGGGTGGCGCATTTACTTTGTAGATGTCTATGGTCTCCAGTAACCACTTAACACCAGGTGGGCTGTGAGCTCGTCCACCCATCTATGTATTAAAAAAAAAACAGTAACGTAAGAGGAACTTTTAAACCACTAAAAAGGGATTTAAAAAAAATATCACGAATGTTTTCCAACTTCCGTCTGTGGTACTAATATAGTCCTCTCCTAATTTAGCTTCGTCTTGTCTATCTTGGTACAATACCTTTATATTTCTGAAGCATTATGTATATCGGTCGAAACTTCGGGATAGTGTTTAACGGCCACAAAACAATTACACACTTTATCTATATATTAATACGTGAAACAAAAACTTTGTATCCCTTTTTACGAAAATTGTGCGGACGGAGGAGTATGAAATTTTCCACACTTTTAGAGATTATAGAAAAGAAGTGCACAATGCTAATATATTTTTTAAATAATGCATAAAAGATACATTAAATCAATACAGAAAACATTACACATACTACCATGTATTTGACACACACACGCATGCACACTACATATTTGTTTATTGTCGAACTTTCTTTGCAGTATGTCAGTTATAGTCTGTCAAATTGAGAATAGATAAAAATATTGTTTGTCTTTGTTAATATTTGTCTAAAGTGTAGTCTTGGCGAAATCTGTGATTATAGAAGTATAATAAATTGTCTTTGACAATAGAACCATAATAATGTTCAAACTTATAATTTCAATTAATTATAGTCGAATTTCGACTACTACGGGACCACTAGTTATAATAAATTCCCGAGGGCTATTTCACCAAAAACTTTAGAACATAATTAAAATTAACTTAATAGCGAGGGCTCATTAGACAGTTAACGACTATGTTAATGACGAAAGTACGTAGAATTTATGCTCCACATGGCCACAGTACGAACAGATCTTGTGTCAGAGATCGTTAACTCAGAAGAGTTTCTTCAAGTTCAAGTCATCTTTATTGAACGTACCGATTTAATAATACAGTGCAACCTCGATATAACAAATCGGTAGGGGGGAACAAGTAAATATTCGTTATATCAAGCAATTCGGTAAACTGAAGTTTGTTATATTAAGGTTAGGTTGGTCTACCATTTGTTATAAATAGGTATAAAAAAATTGTTTTATTTACTTCAACATTACATACTCATCTTACTAATCACTTTTAACTTACTATCAACTTTTACTAATAAATGATAACACATTTTTATCAAATTACTGTATGTATGTGTTTTCTATTTAAAAACAATTAGGTAGGTAATATTTTTTCTCAAACCTGTCGAGACCGATTTACACACTATGGGAATAAGGGTCATATTGTTGGGAACGTTATATGAAGGTTTGGAGTTTACAAAATTCGTTATAAAGAGGTTGTTCGCAATGTAAAGGCATATTTTACATTGACTCTTATGGACAATTCAAGGGGATAACGAATTTGTTAAATCGGAGACGTCGTTATATTGAGGTTCGTTTCTTATTTAATTTTTTCGTACATGAGTGAACGAGCTCACAGCGCACCTGGTGTTAAGTGGTGATCGGAGCCCATAGATATCTACAACGTAAATGCCGCCACCCATCTTGAGTTCTAAGGTCTCGTATAGTTACAACGGCTGCCCCACCCTTCAAACCGAACCGCATTACTGCTTCACGGCAGAAATAGGCAGGGTGGTGGTACCTATCCACGCGGATTCACAAGAGGTCCTACAACCAGTAAATTACCACCGTTATATTAAGGTTGCACAGTATATTGTAAATTTTGTGCGTCAAGTACCTATATAAATTTGGCAAAGAGCAAACCCTGACTTTCTTGCCGATTCTTTTCAGCGGCGAAACTGTATTCCGAATCGTTGATAAAGTTATTACGATTTAAAAGCAACAGTGAAAGAGTACTTCAATGAAAAAATCATCATTTTAAATTCAGAATAAAAAAAAAAATCTCATTTCTTTTCAATCTGTATGATTGAATGTAATCTGTGACACAAAAAAGCTTCAGTTTTAAAGCTCATTTCGGTTAAGCGCGACCTAAATGACGTTCCATTTAAAAGCTACCAGCCCAGTATCCTACGCATTGAAAGGAACTAGGGTAGTGTATGCAGCACGCCTTAAGGCTGTGGTCTTTGAAATAGTGACACCGTAAAGTCGGTGTGGATCGCTTCGAAATATGATACGTCATAACTGGCTATCGCACTATATTTTCTATTAACATATCGAGCGTTGAAATGTTATTAGATTTATTTAAATAGCAACATTGAAACGAGAAAAATAATATCATTTATATGGTAACACCGATATCGACATTCGGTTTTTAAAATCGTGTATTCACCGAGAAACATTTCTTTATAATTTATTAGCTTTTAAATGCGGCTTCGCTCGCGGGTATACTGCTTGTTTTGGGCACCTTTCACGCAGAAAGTAAATATTGAGGTGTGAAATGCTATTTGGTTTAAGCGACATTCCGCTTAATACGCAACATTTATCTTTGTAACTAAAGGTGCGTTTTATTTGATATTAGCATCAACAACTCGACCATTTTAATTGAACTTCAATTAAGCTTACTCCGTTCAAATAGCTGAAGAAGTTTATTAGTTATGATTATTTTTTTTCAAATTTTAAGCTTTAAATGACTCTTCTGTAAAGTTGCAAAAATATCGCAATAACCAAAATTTAACAGTCATTCACTCCTTTTTATTGCTTATGTGGACGGTGGACGATCTCACAGCCCACTTGGTTTTAAGTGGTTACTGGAGCTCATAGACATGACATAGAAATGCGCCACCCACCTTGAGATATAAGTACTAAGGTCTCAGTATAGTTACAACGGCTGCCCCACCCTTCAAACCGAAACGCATTACTACTTCACGGCAGAAATAGGCAGGGTGGTGGTACCTACCTGTGCAGACTCACAAGAGGTCCTACCACCAGTAATTACGCAAATTATAATTTTGCGGGTTACATTTTTTATTACACGATGTTATTCCTTCACCGTGCAAGTCAATCGTGAACATTTGTTAAGAACGTATTTCATTAGAAAAATTGGTACCCGCCTGCGGGATCCGAACACCGTTGCATCGCTCGATACGAATGCACCGGACGTCTTATCCTTTAGGCCACGACGACTTTAATCCGATATAATCATATTAATTAAAAAACACGAGAATGGTAATGACAGTATTTTCTTTTGCTAGTTAATGCCACAGCGCTGATCAGCAAAAATATTAATTTTTCATGATATTCCCTGGAGCAGATCCAACGATATCACGATCGTTTAAAGCAACATAGGACAGGATTGAAATACATCCTCGTCGCCGGCGACGCAACCACACGCGGTCACAAGTGAGCCGAGCACATGTCGTATTCAAACTACACGTGTACACACACGACAAACGTATTCAATGTATTCATTTACTGAACTCTAAAATACTAGAGGTCCCGCAGTAGTCGAAATTCGACTATAATTAATTGGAATTGTAAGTTTGTACACTATTATGATTGTATTTTATACTTCTATAATCCTAAATTTCGCCAAGGCTTACACTATAAAAGATTATTAATAAAAACAAACAATATTTAATCTATTCTCAATTTGACAACAGACGTCAATAACAAAAGTTTGACAATAAATAGTATGCATGCGTGTGTGCGTCAAATACATGTAGGTAGTGTGTGTTATGTTTTCTTTATAGATTTAATGTATCTTTTATGCATTATTTTAAAAAAATATTAGCATTGTGCACTTCTTCTCTATTTTCTCTATAAGTGTGGAAAATTTCATACTCCTCCGTCGGCGAAATTTTCGTAAAAAGGGATACAAAGTTTTTGCTTCACGTATTAATATATAGATAAATGAAACTTATTAGAGTACTGAAGATGTAAAAATATCGATTTTAACTTACAGGTTTTTGTATTAAATTTTGATAGTCTAATAAGTCAATGTCAAAAGAGTGAGTGAGAAGTGAGATGACGTTTTGCTGTTATTTTTTTATCTCGGTTAAACATTTATATCAATGATTTATTATCAAAAAATTAGTATCATTTGTGGCCGAGCGGTGACATGTTTATGTCAAACGCAGAAATCACAGGTTTGAATGAAAACACGTGTTATATACGTATTTATCCCTACTAATATATAAATGTGAATGTAAGTTTGTTTGTTACGCTTTCACGCGAAAACTACTCAACCGATCATCATGAAACTTTGTACACATATTCTTGGAGGTATTAGAAGTAACATAGGATACTTTTTATTTAAAAAAAAAACAATTATTTTTTACGAAAAATTAAAAAATTGTTTGTCAAAAAATCTCAAAATCTAGCTTCTTCAACGCCATCTACCGGTTCAGTAATGAAGTTCCAATCCTGAGTACTGTAAATGAAGTCGCGGGTAAAATTTAGCGTTATGCCAAAGTAACTATTCCACGCGGACGAAGTCGCGGGCAAAAGCTAGTTACTCTATAATTGTGAAACGTTAACTCTGTTTACGTCGGTCACCGTCTTCGCCGAACCCGTCGCTTGCGACGAAGGGCAAGTAAATTAACCCACAGACACAGTCCACTGAGTTTCTCGCCGGATCTTCTCAGTACGTTGCGTTTTCGATCCTGTAGTAGATTCTGCGAAGCACTGCTCTTGTTAGGGCCAGTGTTAGTAACACTCCCGGTTTGAGCCCCGTGAGCTCGCCTACTAGTTCGGTGAATCTAGAATAACCCCTCGAAGTTACTAGAATATGTAGGGAAGAAAAAAAATCTGTTTACGAGTCTTTCGGTAGGCAACAGTTTGGCTCTGCACCTGGCATTGCTGAAGTCCATCGCCATCAGGTGGGCCGTATGCTCGTCTGCTTACAAGGGCAATAAAACAAAAAGAGTACTGACCTGAGCTTCTCCCAATCCAAGATCGATAGCTTCAATGCTCTTCTTAACCAGAGAAGCCTTTTCATTTTCGTGTTCCGTGTTGGTTGCGAGGCCAGCCAGCAGCTGCGTGTGCTCGGCCCTCAGGGCCTCGAGCCCGGCGGCGACGGTACGAGCGCCCGCCACCATTTCCTCCTGCGTCATCGCCGTCATCCTGCCTAAGGATTCGATCTTCTTTCTGGAAAGAAACAAAAACACGTTATGTTAGTTAGATGTGACTTGCAGATCCCGAAATTATACAAAACATAATCTCAGCTCCCTGAGTCGATTTTTTAGACTTTTTTTTTCCTACCTCTTCTAGTAACCTTGTGGGCTTATTCTAGATTCACCGAGCTGGTAGGTGAGATAACGGGGCTCAAACCTGACTACGGACCTGATAACACGAACTCTAGCAAAATCCGTGCTTCGCAGAATCTACCACCGGATCGGAAACGCGATCCACTGAGAAAATCCGGCGAGAAACTCAGTGGGCTGTCTGTGTCTATGGGTTAACTTAACTTGTAAGTAAATTAACTCGAGTAAATTAGCTCGGCTTCGAGGAGAATGATGACCGATGCTTGGGGTACCTAGTATTTTTTTAGACAATATGAGACATTCGCAACGATTTGATGTCGTCACGCATGCGGACGTAGTAAATAGTAAGCGTTAGTATTTTAATTGAATACTTATCGTCGACTTTTACTGTAATCACGATTACTAAAACTATAAAGACCTATATCAAATTTCCTTTCAGTAAGATCACACTATTTAATAACTTAGTACATAGCGGAGTTTAAAAAAAAAAGGCCCTAAGTTGTAATGACGAAATGATACGCTCTTAGTTGTAAAATTGATAACACTAACTAAATAGATCTATGGTGAATGACTAAACTAAATAGCTGTGGTAGTTGTTTGCTATTATGCAACGCGACGATAACCAATTAGAAACGGGCAAACTAGATAGGGCTGCCACGCATTCGTTGTCCTGCGAATGTTACGAAAATCCAAAATGGCAATGCCATGAATTACTAAACGAGAATCTGTCGTCACTGTACCTAAATATAAGAAAAAAAATAAACAATTATAACAACATTGTCAATATTTTCAACTATGTATATCGGTATATTCACGAAAACCCAATTTCATTGTTTGTCAACCTATTGTTTGTAGACAAAGAGGGGTGATTACAAATAACGATTATGTAAATGAACAAGCCGTTTAACTGACTAGACTTTTCAATCATAACGTTATTACGGTGTTTGTAATTTTTTTTTTTTTTTTTTTTATTTAATTTACTTCAGATTTTACATCCATATTACACGTCTTCATTACATTGCATTAACATTTCATTTATACTAAAATTAAATAAAAATAATAATTAATCTCGGACTAAAACAAAAACAATAATAATAATAATAAAAACAAAAAATCAAATAATAATAATAATAAAACAAAAACTCTAAATTAACATGAAAACTACCTTAACCTAAAGGCTGGTTTGGATCCAGAGTGCTCAATATGCACACGTGTCCAGTGTTGCATTATTGGGCAGTCCAGATCCATCCGTGAGGCGAACAGCCGTAGGTAGCGGTTGCGACTGACCCGCACACGGCGAATTAGGGAAGCAATTCGCTTACGAATGATTGCTGCGAAGCTATCTATTCGCGCATCCGCAAACATCCCCGACGCACCGCAGTGACGCGGCAGCCACATCAGCGCTCTGAAAGCGTTATTATACTGGACACGCAGGGTGCTGTAAGATTTCTTGGTATACTTAACCCATAGGCTGCACGTGTAGAAAGACTGGCAGTATGCTCTAAAAAGAGTAGCTTTCACCTCTGCAGTACACCGCGCGAACCTACGGGCCAGCATATTACCCCTGATTGACAACGCCCTGCGCTCCCTGTCCATGTCTACATCGTCTGCAAGCGTCTCAGTGACCCAGTGACCCAGATACTTGAATTGTGATACTTGTTTAAGGACACTGCCGTTGAGTATGACTGATGGGACAGTTTCGTAGGTTTTTCTGCCTGATTTAAATACCATCAGTTCGCTTTTAACGGCATTATATCTGAGCCCATGTTCCTCCGCATAACACTCGCATATCCTAATCAGCTTTCTGAGAGCCCTGATCGATGGGCTCAGCAACACCATGTCGTCTGCATAACTGATATTATTAACACACACACCATCAATGGAACATCCGACATTGGAATTGCTGAGCCCACGAATCAGGCGGTCAATGTATAGGTTAAAAAGGCTTGGCGATGACAAGCCACCCTGTCTTACCCCACAATCCAGCCTATACATATCCGACTGCGACCCCGACCACTTCACAAAGTTGCTCTGATTACCATACCAGTATCTCAAGAGAGAAACAAACTCATG